TTTTATGTAGTGCCTCTGCCTTTAAAAAAAAATCTTTCATGTTAACGTTTTTGAAGAGTGCAGCCAGTTGCTTTGTAGCATGACCCACAGCGTTCTCAGGAGTGGATTCAGGTTACGCATTCTCAGCAGGAATACTACATAAATGTACTGGTTTGCTCAGCCTCTCTTAACAGGAAGCACAGGGTGTGAATCTGCCCTGTCATTGATGATGTTAGCTTCAATGACTTGGTGAAAGTGGTATCTGCTAGGTTTCTTCACGGTAAAGCTTTTAATCTCTTTATATTTCTATGATATTCTAGATATTCTATGTGGAGATGCTGTCATCCCTCAATTTATCATACCTTCGTTATTCTTCTATGAATCCAATACTAATACTAGGGTTGCAGAATGGTGGGGTCTTTTCTAACTCTATTGTCCCACCTGCCCTACATGTACAAATTGGTACACTATGGAAAAAAACTTTCCATTTTCTTCTATTCATTTATTTAAAAAAATATCAGTCTGGACTCATTTTTTTTTTAAATTTAGTGTGTTATATGCCATTACTTTTTTATTCATTCATTTATTTATCTATCTATCTATCTGTTTATTTATTTAGAATATTCATGAGATACAAAGCTGATCGTCCCCCCTCCTGCCCATGATGTGGGGGCCAGATTCATATTGGGGACATATCCATTACTAGAAATTGCTTTTGTACCCTTTGTCCCCTTCCAATTATCCCCCAACCTCCCTCTCTCCCTCCCCCACTCCCCTCAACTCCAATTTGTAGCCCTGGGAATGTTCCCTCCCTCTGTTGGATCGTGGGATTACTGTTATCAAGAAGAAACTTATTTGTTTGTTTGGGGGTTTTGGGGGGGTTTTTTGGTGGCTGGCCAGTATGGGGATCTGAACCCTTGACCCTAGTGCTTGGTGTTATCAGCACCAGCTCTAACCAAGTGAGCTGACTGGCCAGCCCTGCCATTACTTTTATTATTCATTGTGATGTTCAAATTGCCCTCAATTTGACTATCAGGAAAACCCTTCAAGCTAGCTTCTGTGTCTTTTTTTGACATGTTCCCATCATTTTTTAAGCACTTCCTTGTATTGGGACATAACAAGTACACTTTTACTGCCCCTACCCCAGGCTTCAAATCAACTATTTCCTCTGGGAACCCTAGTTCCTTTTAGTGGGGGGTGACATTAGAGACCAAGAGCTGGGGTGTTAGGTGTGCTCACTGTTTCTGGAGTGTCACTACTTCCAGGATCTTTCAGGACATAAAACTGGAAAATTATATATATTTAAATAACAGTTAATAACGCTAGCTAAATACCACAGGGTTTTTTCTTGCCTTATCCTGGTCTGTATTTTTATCCCTTCTTTCAGAATGAGAAACTCTAGCTCCCTAAAGTATCAGTATATTTACATATTTGCTCAACCCTACAGTGTGCACAAAATAATTTCAGAACGGCTACCCCTAGACCACTCACAACAAAAAAACCTTCTAAGTAAGATTCAAGGTTCTTTAGACTGAGATATATGAGGATACTTCAGAAAGTTCATGGGGGGCTGGTGGGTTAGCTTAGTTTGTTAGAGCAAGGTGTTATAACTCCAAGGTCACGGGATCAGATCCCCTTACCAGCCAGCTGCCAAAAAAAAAAAAATTGTTAGATTCATTTGTTTCTGTTTATATTTAATTTTAGTTTTTTCCCCATCCTTATTGATTATACCTTTTGAATATATAAAATATTAACATAGTTCTAAAGGTCAAAATGAGATGAAAAAAATGTGCTGCAAGAAGGACCACTTCCTGCCTGTCTCTTCTTTCATGTTCTCCTCTACTCCCTGTAGTTAATCAACTTCATTTGTTTGTTTCCCTTCCTGTGTCTCCTTTTGCAAAAATAAGTGAATGTACGTATGTATTCTTATGTACCCTTTTCCCTTGCTTATAAGGTAGCATACTCTATACGCTTTTGCATATTACTTTTTTTTACTTAATAATATAGGCTAGAACTATCACTGAACTCCCTATCAGTTCATGGAATTCTTCCTTATTTTTATTTTACAGAGGCACGATACTGTTATGTGGATATTTATAGTTTATTGTATCAATCCTCTGTGTTAGGGCATTTAGGTTGTTTCCAGTATTTTCCAATTACAAATAATACTGCAGTGAATTAGCTTGTGTATATGTATTTTTCATATTGTTGGAGGGATAACTTCAGTGTAAATTACCAGAAGTGTGATTGCTGGGTTAAAGGATAAATACATGTGTGGTTTTCTTAAATATTGCTAAATCTCCCCCTACAAGGAGGACTGCACCATTTTGCATTCCTAGCAGCAATGTGTAAAAGTATCCACTCCCCCAGCCTCGCTAAAAGAGTATGTTGTGAAGCTTTTAAACTTTTGATTGATGAGAAATGGTATCTCATCGTAGTGTTCATCTGCATTTCTCTTATTTTGAGTGAGGGAGCTTTGAAAAAAACAAACAGGGAGTTCATAGAAGGTCTTTCTAAAGAGGTGACAAGTGAAGAGAAATCTAAGTAAAGTGACAGAGACAAACATGCAGAAATCTGGGGGGAGAACATTCCAAGTAGGGGAAACAGCAAGGGCAAAGGCCCAGAGGCAGAAATGAGTTTCACATGTTCAAGGAAGAGTAAGAAAGTCAGGTGGTCTGAGAGTAAGAAAGCAGAGGGAGCGAGGTGAAGCTGATTAGAGATGGGTTGGCAGGGACCAGACCACGTAGGCATTATAGTCTAGGAGGTCAGCAAAGTGTTCTGTAAAGAGCCGGATAATAAATACTTTCAGAGCCATCAAGTCTCTATCAAAACTACTCAATACTCAGTTGTAGCATGAATGTAGCCAAAGGTAATATATACACAAAAGGGTTTGGAGGGTTTAACTCGGTTGAGTGCAGCCTGCTAACACCAAGGTCAAGGGTTCTGTTCCTTGTACTGGCCAGCTGCCAAAAAAAACCCCCAAAACCAAATGGGTGTGGCTGTATTCCAATAAAATTTCATTTATAGACACTGAAATTTGAAATTCATATACATTAAAAAGTTGAGATATAATTTACATAATTTAAAATTTATATAATTCAGTGGTTCTTAGTCTGTCAAGGTTGTGCTGCCATCTCCATTAGCTAATTTTACATTTTCATCACCCCAAAAAGAAACCTCACACCTTTTAATAGCCAGTCACAATTACCCCCTCCATCCCATTCCCTGGCAATCACTAATCTACTTTCTGTACAGATTGGCCTATTCTGGACATTTCACACAACATGTGGCCTTTTGTGTCTGGCTTCCTTCACTTAGCATGTTTTCTAGGTTCATCCTTGTAGTAGCATAAATCAGTACTTCATTCCCTGTTTTGGCTGAATAGCATTCTTTCATGTGGATATACCGCATTTGTTTACCCATTCACCAGTGGTTGGACATTTGGGCTATTTCCACTTTTCGGCTATTATAAATAATGCTGCTGCAAACATTTGTGTGCAAGTTTTTGTGTGAACATATGTTCTTAATTCTCTTGGGTATACTGTATACCTAGGAGTAGAATTGCTGGGTTGTATGGTAATTTTATTTTTAACTTCTTGAGGAACTGCCAAATGAAATTCGTATACTTTTTATGAGCCACAAATATCTTTCGTCTTTTGATTTTTTAAAACCATTCAATTATGTAAAAGCCATTCTTAGCTAGTCATACAAAAACAAGAGGTAGGGCTGGCCAGTTACTCAGTTGGTTAGAGCACGGTGTTAGAACACCAAGGTCAAGGGTTGAGATCCCCATACCAGCCAGCTGCCCCCCAACCCCCCTCCAAAAAAGAGGTGGGCTGGATTTACTCCTCAACCACAGTTTGCTGATCCTGTCATAGGCAATGGAAGGAATTTGGATTTATTCTGTGAGTGATGGACATACAAATGTTTATTTGTAGGATTCTGTGGGAAGATGCTGATAAGGATTAGTTTAATTTAGGGCAAGGGACTTTATAGCCTCCTTAAGCCACTCTTGCCATGGCTACTGTGTCAAGGAAAGTTCACCTAGAGGAAAGGATAACTGCATCTTAAAAATTCTCAAACTCTGGCCTCTCTTCTTCACACTCTTTATGTGCCTCTATTTTGTCAACTGTAAATGGAGATAAAAGTGTGTCTACTTCAAATGGTTGTTGTGAGGGTTGAATGAGTTTATGTATACAACACTGAGAACAGTGCCTGGCACAGACCCAAACCTACATAAGTAGTTGCTATTATTATTGATGTTGTTACAACCATTTTCAACAGCCCCAGCTCAGGCCTTACCCTCTTCCCTCTTGAATATCACAACTTCCCCTTTAATCTGTCCCCAACACCAACCAGCCCCCAAAGGATCTACTACCACCCTGATCTGGCCCTGTCTTCCCTCTGTCCTAAATCTTTTATGGCTCCCTAGTGCCCTTGACATCAATGCCAAGCTCCTCAGCCTGGTATTTGAGGCTTATCATGGCCTTGCCCCTGCCGCCTTCTCTAGCCTCATTTCTTGTGGGTACAGCCCAGGTTACAGCTACATGGCTCGACCAGTTCTCCCTCCAAGCCTATGCCCATGTTGTACCTTCTACTGGGAACGGTGTGATAGTATGCCCTTATTTTTCCCTGGGTCTCATCTTTTAGGACTGGGAAAAACGAAGCTTTCCTTGATTCCCCTTGCCCTGCCCCAGGTGGGTTTGGCATCTCTTCTGCACTGCCACAGAGCTCTGTGCTACTTCCCCTATAGCACATATCACTGTGTACATGACTGTTGGTCAGTGTCCATATTTACCGTCCCCAATTGTGAACTCCTGGACGGCAGATTGATGGGGGGAGGGAGGGTTGTTGTTTTATCTCTGGGCTCCCTGTAACCCAACTAAAGTCCAGCACACAGGGGCTTCCAAAGTCTTAAGTTAGTCCAGGACAGGACAGGGAGGAGGGAAAGGCAGTGAGACGGAGCGGGGCTGAGGGCCCACTTCTAACGGACCCGAGGGCACCCTCTCTGCTCCCCCTAGGCCTCTCCTTGGTGGTGGGCTTGGTTCTTTACATCTCCAGCATCAATGACGAAGTCATGAACAGGCCCAGCAGTTCCGAGCAGTATTTTCATTATCGCTACGGGTGGTCTTTTGCCTTCGCTGCTTCCTCCTTTCTACTCAAAGAGGTGATGTCGATGGGGCCCAAACTCTATAGTTTTGAGTGGGGAGGGATCTGGACGTCCTGATTCCTGGGTTCAGGAAGAAGAGGAGGCTGGGGGTGTAGACTCTGGATTATGAGGGAAGGGATGGCTGAAGGTCTAACCCCTGGGCCCTGGAGGAGGAGGGGTCTGGGAGATCCAAGTCCTGGGGTCCTGGGGGAGGAAGGGACTGGGATTCCTGCGTCTTCAGGTATGGGGGAATCTGAGGGCTTGGATTCCCGAGGTCTTCGGGAAGGAGAGGCCTGAAATCCTGATACCTGGTTCCTGGGAGACGATGGGGCTGGGAGCTTGGAATCTTGGGTGTCGTAGAGGAGGGAGCTGGGGGTCAGGACTCTTGAGTCCTGGAGTAAGGTGGTGGGGCTCCTAAGGGACTCTGACCGTGCCTTGCTGCAGGGGGCTGGCGTGATGTCTGTGTACCTGTTCACCAAACGTTACGCGGAGGAGGAGATGTACCGTCCGCACCCGGCCTTCTACCGCCCGCGTCTCAGCGACTGCTCCGACTACTCGGGCCAGTTTCTGCAGCCCGAGGCGTGGCGCCGAGGCCGCAGCCCATCCGACATCTCCAGCGACGTGTCCATCCAGATGACTCAGAACTACCCTCCCGCCATCAAGTACCCCGACCACCTGCACATCTCCACCTCGCCCTGCTGAGGCCCCGCCCCTCGGAGCTGCCTGCTCTTCCTGCTCGCGCCGGGTCTCCCAGCAGTGCCGTCTCCCGCTCTTCCGCGGGACCCCTCGCTCCCACCCGGAGGACGCTGCGCCAGCTTGAGGCCCCGCCCTCCTGCCAGTGGCCCCGCCCCATCGTTCTCCATCATTTCAAGGCTCCTCCCCATTTCCCGACCTCTCCTCTTCATTGGTCCCTTCCACTTCCAGACGACTCCTCCCCTTTGTTTGCCTGCCCCTCGTCCCTTAGGACCCGCCTCTTTCCCCTGGCCCCTCCTCTCCCAAACAATCAGCTCTTCCCTCCTTCCAACCGCTCAGTTCACCCAGCGGCCCCGGGCGGTGCTGGCGCTCAGCTCCCCAGAGTACCCGGACCTCCCGCCCCACCTCAGGGGCTCCGGGCTGGAGAGTAGGTTCCAGCAGCCGCCAGGGACGCCGACCACCCTCTTCTCCCCTCTGCTCCGGACTTCTCTCTTTCCTTGCCTAATCTCACATCCTGACCTGCAGGGTCCTCCGGTGCGGGGGCACGGGATGGGGAGGGGGCTGCTTGCTTCTCCCACAGCTCCGGGGTGCAGCGGGGGCTGAAAGCCAGGGGTTAGCCTCGTCTTTCCCTCCCCACTTTCTCTGCTCCCCTGGGAGACCCACCCCATCCCTTCTCACCGGCCAGGCTCTCTTCTGCCTCCTGCAGGTCACCTGCCCATTAGGGGGCTCTGTCTAACGGGTCTTATTGCTTTCCCAGTTACCCTTGGCTTCTTTTTCTTCCTCTTCCTTCTCTAACTCTCTCTCTCCTTTCTTCCCTCCACCCGCTCATCCGAAGCCCCTAGGTGCATCCAGCCCCGCACACCAAACGACGAGGATGGGGACCCCAGGGTGGAGGGAACCCGCCCACGCCATCTCCACACCTGTGCCCGCCTCTCCCCCCTCGAGGTCCCGTCGGGGGAGGGAGGGGTAGTAGCGGGGGTCAATACCCCCCCCAAACCTCTAAGTCTTCCATTTTCTGGCACCTCTCATTGGCGTCCTTCTTCCCGTTTCAGACCCACAAGTCTGGCCTCTTTCAAGGGCCTGTCCATCCCCTTGGACAGATTTTAGGGGAGGAGGGGAGGTCACCAGAAACTCCCCCACCCCCCTCATTAGGGAAGGAGAGGCGAGGTAGCACAGTGTTGTACTTGGAACAAGAATGGCCCCCGGGGTGGGGGGAGGGGCAGGGGAGGGACGGGGGCTT